TCTTCAGAATTTCATAGCAAAGTTTCATAGCTTGTATTATCTCCTTATCATCAACAACTATAACGTCATCCACGAGATCGCGGACAATAGGCCTGTTTGATGGTAAAGGTAAATACCAGAAGTTCAAGAAAGGTTTGATTTTGACTATGAAAAAGCTTTAAAATAGGCAGACAGTAGTTTATAGTAGAAGGAGCTCGACTTTACCACGTGAGATCTCCAAGAAAAGCTCGAAGGCCATCAGCAATAGTGTTGACTTCAGATAACTTAGTAATCCTACCATTACTCTTTGATTGGAAAGCATCATTTGCCCCCATTGGTTCGGCAGCCAAAATGCGAATGGCAGGATTGATGGCCTTGGCAGCCAATGCAACTCCCGATATCATACCACCTCCTTCATTCCGAATCAGAAAATGAGGCTGATTTACAAATTAAAATTTCAAGAAAAACAATATATCAAAGTCTTAAAATTGTTGAATTTACCGCTGATTGGGACTATTAAAGTGTCAATATCTGAAGCTTGTTCCAGAAACTCCAGAGATATTGTACCCTGCCCACTGTAAAGATCATAAAGAAACATAGAGGTAGAGAACTATTCATTAGTAGAGATCATTCTGTGTAGATTCCTAGTGAAAAAAGTGAGACTTGTGTTACCTTATAATGCGCCCATCATTAGAGGAAGGAATAAGAACAGCACCGGTATCTTGCAACACCTTGTTTGCAGTATCTTCCCGGGACTGCATTGATGGCTCACTGAAGATAACACGACCACCATAACGTTTGACATTTGCGACTTTGCATTTTGGAGCATCTTTTGGTATAACTATATATGCAGGGATGCCCCGTAGTTTTGCAGCCAAAGAAAGAGCTGCAGCATGATTTCCACTAAATTCGACAGGAAGTAGATTAGGGGATAATCCAAAAAAATAAATAAAGATAGTTTTACCAGTAAACCAGAAAGCTCTGAACGAACCTGCTATGTGTTACAACTCCTTTAGTGGCCTGATCATCATCAAGTGAAAATATAGCATTGCATGCCCCTCGGAATTTAAAAGCTCCCCTAATAAATTGCACGAACAAATGGCCCTTAGTTAGAAGCGAAAATAGCAGAAACTTTAGTTCACTACGACACATTTATATAGGAACTACTTTGAAGAAAATCCCTTCCATTCTACGTTACAGAGCTTCTTACCCCTTCTGAAAGCATTCACATTTGAAGTACAGCTTTCTTCCAGCAATAGAATCTAACGTGTCTGAGGTGAGGACAGGGGTTTGTTGTGCAAAGGGCTTGATGCGTACTTGCGCTTCCCTGATGGAAGAGATATCAGCAGCATAACTGTCACTAGATTTTGTGTGATTCGGTTCCATCAATGATTACTTTGGAAGTTAACAATCGTGAAGCTGTAAACATGTGATATTTTTTTAGTCAGTCCAGGGAAGATCAATGAACAACAATACCAAACAAGGTGGAATCTTTCAAGTCTATCCAGTGAAGATCTAAGACGAGAAATATATAATCAGTTGATTTTGAGAACAAACACAAGAATAACAAGCTTCCAAGAAAAACAATAATATCATATAACGTGACAAATAGCCTGAGATTAGACTTAATGAGAAAGGAAATTCTTTTGATCTCAAGGATCAACCAAGGGAAATGATGGATCATGGACATGTTACCCATAAACCACAGAATCTAAATCTATAATCAAGTTTCAATCTTTCTGTCAAATGATGGGTCAATCTCAATTTCCCTAAATTTCAGACTTGAGGCCAAATCTCAATATTCTACACCTCAAATCATAAATCTAAAGCTGAAAGCATATCTCATTACCACAATCCATCAAAATATTCAATTTTAATATATCAATATATATATTGACATTCTTGTTCCAAAGTAAAACGTCTCAATAGTATAGGAATCATTATAGAATCATTAAATCGTCATCATTTCTTACTACACAACATTTTCAAAAGAACCAAGAAAGCAGTTACATGGAAAATGGATGTGACCATCATCACAGATGTGTTGATTCTCTTATCACATCTGCTCCATGGACTCTACATTATATCGTTAACAAGTTCTAGCGTATACTTGTCAACAAAAAAAAAAATTAAAAAAAAAAGAACCAATAAAGCTATGAACCAAGTAAATTTTAACCTGAAGCTTAAATTGACGAGAGCTTCACTATCGGCTCAAATAAAGTTCCAGCCCCTTCCTTCGAGTAAAAAGCTTTTTTTCAAAAGAACCAAGAGCTCTCTTACCCTAATATGTCTCATATACTTATATGTTGATAAGAATAAGAGCCTGTTTGGATTGACGTAAAAAAAAGTAGCTTTTAAGTCCAAAATAAAAAGTCAAACTGAAATGACTTTTAAGTCGAAAAATAAAAAGTAGGGGGAGACCTACTTTTGGTTTTTGACTTATTTTAAGTCATTTTTTACTTTGCCAAACACTCCCCAACTTATTTTAAGTCATTTTTAACTTATTTTAAATTATTTTTGTATTTGCCAAACACTTCCAGAAGTCAAAAACTGACTTAAAAGTTGGTTTGACCAACTTTTAAGCCAAACACCCTCTAAATAGGTCTAGCCCCCTTCTGAAAGAAGAGCAAATTGATTTGTGGAAAATTTCTGAATCATTCATTCATCCCAAATCTTCTGTATTTGTACATGTATATTCACTACAAAACAACAAAATAATAAAACAAACAGCTATCAAGTATATGTAACCAACTATTATTCCTCACAAGCTTGTCACGTGAGAGCATATTTCTAGAAGTTCTAATCTAATGGTTCATAATTGATCATCTTCATTCTTGATGAGGGGTTGTGATTTAGCCACGACATCTACAGACAAACTTTTCATACAGCTGGGTTTTATCAAAGCTTTGTCTGAAATGTCTGAAACTCTTTTTCCTTTTCTTCTTTCTTCTTCAATTTGTGTCGTTTCTTTAGAAGAAGAAATGGTAGATGGTGACGATGATTTATGAGTGTCAATACCTTCTTCACTCATAAATTAGTTACCTAACTAAGCAAATATAACTACTATATAAAAAATACATAGTTATAGTTTTAAAATATTACCAAATGTGGCGTCAGTTACCATTTTATAGCAAATTCACTAGCTTGTGTCCTTTCTCCTTTTTAAGGATTAATGGTCCAGCCCACTTCTTCACTCATAAATTAGTTACCTAACTAAGCAAATATAGCTACTATATCTAAAAGGCATAGTTCTAGTTTTAAAATATTACCAAATGTGGCGTTAGTTACCATTTTATAGCAAATTCACTAGTTTGTTTCCTTTCCCCTTTTTAAGGATTAATGGTCCAGCCCACTTCTTCACTCATAAATTAGTTACCTAACGAAGCAAATATAGCTACTATATCTAAAAGGCATAGTTCTAGTTTTAAAATATTACCAAATGTGGCGTCAGTTACCATTTTATAGCAAATTCACTAGTTTGTTTCCTTTCCCCTTTTGAAGGCTTAATACACTGTATGTCTATCAGTTAATTCTCTTACCAAATCCCACTTTTCTTAATTTGCTCCTATTCTCTATCTCGCGGTTTTGCTTCTTCCTCAATTCCTCAATAAATATGTTGGTTATGTGTATCTAATAGTTTCTTCTACTGATTCTCAGACTCCAAGCTGTTAATTTGAATTATTTTAGGGGGCTTCTCAAGCTTTTTTTCTGTGTATCAATGGCGGAAGCTTCTACTCCTAAGAGGCTTACTCGAGGTATTACCCTCTAACCAACATTCTTATCAAGATTGTCCATACTTTGATTTGTGCATTTTCACTCAAGAAGATAACAATGCAGGGGTTGTTGCTGCTTTAGAAGCCGAGAGGAGAACTAAGTTCCGCAATGACCCCATAAAAATGCGGTCATTGGATGAACAACAACAAAAAAATCAAAGAAATTGAAAGTTGTTGCAGCAGATGCAAGTATCGATAATAAGAAAGGAAAGAGGTTGTTTAAGATACATGTATTGAAAAAGGGAAAAAAGAAATTTTGACCCATGCTATCAAGGAAACAAGTGTAGGGTAAGAGAACTCTTGGTTAGGTAACTTATCCCTCTCCAGATACACACAAATTTCTAGATATTACCCAAATATGATCCAGAGAGGGTTTGATTGAATTTTTTTTCTTCTTGATTGTATACATTTATTATTATATTTTGCCACAATATGTATGAGATAATAAACATTGTATTTTGCCACAATATGTCTGATAAAAATATGAATAATAATACATGTATCAGATATATTACTATAACCGGAATAATGACAGAGTGGAACCAAGTATCATTTATTCAAAAATGATAAAGAAAAACAGTGTTACCTTATAAAGCGCCCAGCATTAAAGGAAGGAAAAGAACAGCACCGGTATCTTGCAACACCTTGTTTGCAGTATCCTCTTGGGACTGCATCAATGGCTCACTCGGGATAACCTGACCACCGAAACATTTGACATTCTCGACTTTACTGAATCAACTCAAAAATCCATTTGGGTCAATGAGAAACAGACTCAACTTCAGATAGTTTCTACACCCATTACAGCAAATTTTAAAAAAAAATACTAAAATCAAGAACCAGTATTAGTGGATAGTAGACACTGAAAATAGAAAGAGAACTAAGAGGGAAAGAATGAACCTTAATGGCTGGAAAGAACTTACAGTACCTGAGCAGAAAGATACCCCAATACTCAGTAGCTAAAATCACAGAAATTGACTCAACATTCGATGGAACTTCCATACCAAGTGTAATCCCACAAGTGAGGTCTGGGACGGTAGAGTATATGCGGACCTTACCCATACCTCGTGGAGGTAGCGAGGTTGTTTCCAAAAGACCATCGGCTCAAGAGCATCAAAGCAAGCAGTTATAAAAAAGAAAATAAGACAGTAGCGAGAAAATGACAACTAAGAAGGAAAGCAGTACAGAGCATTCAGAACAAAAGAACTGTAAAAAAAACAAATAATGTGAAACATAAATCAAAGAACAAGAAATTGCAAGAATACATGAATCATATAGAAGTTTGTTCCAATGAGGGGAGAGATTGAATACAAAGTTTCTCATTTGTTAACGGAATTCCAAAGCACACCAAGATCAACATTGCCTCCAGAAATTACAATGCCAATATTATTGCATTCTCTATAGGCTGGATTTGTTTTAAAACTATTGGAAAGAACTGCTGCAAGGCCAATAGCTCCACTTGGTTCCACTGCAATCTTTAGAATTTCATAGCAAAGTCTCATAGCTTGTATTATCTCTTCATCATCAACAACTATGACGTCATCCACGAGATCGCGGACGATAGGCCTGTTTGATGGTAAAGGTAAATGCCAGATACCATTTATCAAATTGGCTTGTTAGAAAAAGCAAAGTTATCAAGAGTGTGTTAGAAAAAGCAAAGTTATCAAATTGGCTTGTTACAAATCGGCGTAGAAGTGAAAGAAAAGGAGCTAGGGGGTAGAAGGGCTTGGGAAAAAGGGACCAAGAGCCTTCTTCAGTGCAGGGGTAAATACACTCAAAGTGAGAACCAAAAAATTCTGTTGCCTGGACCCTCCAAAGATGTTGCATCACTTGGGTCAGATCCTCAAAAATGCATACCCGACAGTATTTTTGAAGAATCCAAGCAACATAGTTAAAAATATTAGCACAATCTCCAAAACATTGAGTCATGCCGATCTGGCTGCCAACAAACCTTTGATTTTGATTGCGAAAAGCTCCAAATAGGCACAGTAATTTAGAGTAGAAGGAGATCTAAGACCTTACCATGTGAGGTCTCCAAGAAAGGCTCGAAGCCCATCAGCAATAGTGTTGACCTCAGATAACTTAGTGATCCTCCCATTGATCTTCGACTGGAAAGCATCATCCGCTCCCATTGGTTCGGCAGCAAAAATGCGAATGGCAGGATTAATGGCTTTGGCAGCCAACGCAACTCCCGATATCAGACCACCACCTTCATTCCATACTAGTAATTGAGGCTGGTCTACAAATTAAAATTTGAAGAAAATGATATATCAAAGTCATTAAAAAGTTGTTTTACCGCTAATTGGGACTATTAAAGTGTCAATTTCGGAAGCCTGTTCCAGAAGCTCCAGTGATATTGTACCCTGCCCACTGTAAAGACCACAAAAAAACATATTAAATGGAGAAATATTCATCAGCACAGATCATACTGTCTAGATTCCTAGCAAAAAGGTTCAATTTTTTGGAAAAAGTATATTTTGGAATATCAAAAACTACCATTCCATACAGTTCAATTAGAAGTTCAAGGTTGACTTGGAATAGTTCGTAATGAAACTGCTGCAAATGCCGAGAAAGATGAAATCATCATACAGAAGGATCATTAACAAATAAAGTGAGATGTAAGGCTCAGTTTGTCTTGGGCAGGATATAGAATTTTAACAAAACATGTGCACACGAATACTCTTAAGGGTTCTTTGGGGGCTTTCAGGCCCCTCTCAATCTATTTTGTAGTTGAGAAGGGGGAAGTACCAAGAATCATCTATTAAAAAATTACAAAGAAAACCAATGTTACCTTATAATGCGACCATCATTATAGGGATGAATAAGAACAGCACCAGTATCTTGCAACACCTTGTTTGCAGTATCCTCTCGGGACTGCATCGATGGCTCACTCCAGATAACCTGACCACCGTAACGTTTGACATTCTCGACTTTGCATTTTGGAGCATTTTTTGGTATAACTATATAAGCAGGGATGCCCCGTAGCTTTGCAGCCAAAGCAAGAGCTGCAGCATGATTTCCACTAAATTTAACGGGAAGTAGATCAGGAGGTAATCCAGAAAAATAAATATAGATAGTAAACCACAGAAACTAGAAAGATCTGAACGAACCTGCTATGAGTTACAACTCCTTTAGCAGCATGATGATCATCAAGTGAATAAATAGCATTGCATGCCCCTCGGAATTTAAAAGCTCCCCTGATAAATTGCACAAACACTGGCCCTTAATTAGAACCTTTAGGCAGAAACTCTAGTTCACTACAACACACTTATACAGGACTACTTTGAAAGAAATCCTTCCACTCTATGTTAAAGAGCTTCTCACCCCTTCTGAAAGCATTCACATTTAAAGTACAACTTTCTTCCAGCAATAGAGTCTAAAGTTTTTGAGGTGAGGACAGGAGTTCTGTGCGCAAAGGGCTCGATGCGTACTTGAGCTTGCCTGATGGAAGAGATGTCAGCAGCATAATCGTTGCTAGATGTTGGGCAGTTTGGTTCCATCAATAATTACTACGGAAGTCAATACTCCTGAAGCTGAAAACATGTGGAACTTCTCATGTCAATCCAGGGAAGAACAAAAATACCTAACAAGGTGCAATCTCTCAAATCTATCCTATGAAGAACTAAGACGAGAAATATATAATCAATTGACTCTGAGAAGAGAACACAAGAATAATACACTTCCAATAAAAACAATATCATATAACATGACAATTTTTGTGAACTCGGCAAGGGGGAATCAAACGTGATACCCATATTTGCCTATAAACAAAGGGCATTCTGTGTCCCAAAGGACCTCAATGTACTGAATTCAGACTTATCAGTCTTTTACCCTCATCCCCCACAATCTGAACGAACAGTCTTCGGCTCGAACTAGTTATATTAATCAATCAATCAACTACGTCTCAACCCTCAACTAGTTGGTATCTGCTATAAATACTAGAGTTTACACCAAGGATTTGAACCTATGACCTAAAACAATTTTTTAACCCCCTTTACCACTATACTAGAATCTTTCCTCACGCGAGGCAGGAGTGGATGTAGTTCACAATTTACGAGTTCATCTACACTAGTAACTTTAGCTCAGACCTAGAATATGTTAAAAGATTCACTAACTAAGAACAGATAATGGATTTGAATGGGATGCAACAAAAGTTTTGAACTTGAAACCATAGAGTTCAAAATTTGGATCCGCCTCTGTGTCGAGGGATTCAATAAAACATCTTTTCAGCAAACGGATTCAGTTGAACCCCTTTATCTTTCTTTGCTCCGCCTCTGGATCCAGATACACAGACCAATCAACCAAATAACCATATGTAAATACACCCCTGTCAAATCCTTCAAAAATGCACTATTTTTGGAGGACCCAACATACACCTTGAACAGAGTCTGAGCAACATAACTTATAAGTCAGTGGTCACATCCTCACAACATTATTCTACTTCCGCTACCTTAAAATTCAACCCCTCAATGAGAGAACCAACTTCCCCCATCACCAACAAACAAGATGCAGATACACAGACACATGGATAGAGGTAGCATATATCTTTGGTTCAAATCATGTATATGCATTTAAAAAAATCACCAAATAAATCCACAATCCAATTACTAGCACTTGAGACAGTAAAATCTTAGAATCCAGAACTCATACTTTCAAATCCTAGCTCCGCCTCTCTACAGAACACTTAACCAAAACAAGCATATGTAAATACACTACTATCATCTTTATCAAGGAAATATAAATAAAAAAGGTAACTTTTTTAATACAAAAACAACAAGAAACAGGAGAATCTTAGTAACTCACTAGGTTAGCTATCCGAACTTTCACCTTGTTAATAAGAGTCTGATTCCCTGTCATCCCCTCTCCCAATTCCCCATTTTTATTTAAAAAATCAAGAGCTTGCTGAATCAGCTCAAGAAAACATTTGGGTCCATGAAAAAACAAACTCAATTTCAGATAATTTCTACACCCATTACAGCAAATTAAAAAAATATACTACTAAAATCAAGAATTAGTATTAACCTTTATGAGTGGCAAGAACTTTCAGTCACTGAGCAGAGAGGAATTGAAGTTCCCCAACAGTATAATCAATAGTCACATATGGGGTCGTTTGGTACTCGAAATAAAAGATAAATATGATACTAAATTTATTTAATATGATGTTATCGAGATTTTTTTGATTTTTGATGACAAGGAAATCCACAATCGCTACTCTTTGGGTGCGGACAGGTAAAATCTCTGCTCCTATGCAATAGTTCGCAAATCACACAGGAGAAGTAACCCGCACTAGGCAAGTCCGGTGCAACGAGCTCGACCCAGAAGGCATTCTCTTCCTTTCGCTGGTAAGGAGTTTCGAACTTGAAACCTCCAACATGGACGTTATCCAGACTTTTGATTAAGAATAAATATGATTTAGAATTGATATGTTAACCTTTTATTTATTTATGATAAAATTTATATATTTAAAAATACATAATGTTAGATAATAAAAAGTATTTAAATATATTGAAAATAATTGTGGTAGAAAATTGCTCGGCTACTTAAAGTAGACTAGCATAATTCTTTTTTGATAATGGTGCGAGATCAATGGATAAAATTCTCCATCATTAACATAAAAGATGTCATATTCGAGCTCTAATAGAAAAAAGTTTAATAAGGAGCATTTTTTTCTTTTAATTAGCTTACAAGTCGGTGCTATATAATATATAAATACGTACACCATGTGAAAAATTACAAAAAAGAAAAAAAACACATGAGGGCATGTGCATTTTTCTAATATAGAATATTTATAGTCTTAAAAATACTAGATTATTTATTACAAATACAAACTACTTTTTTCCTTATAAACTTGATGCAAGATTGAATATTATTTTATATATCTTTTAATTCAAGAAGGGGAGCCTTGGAGGAGGTCACCTTGTGGTCAGACCCTTCCTCAAACACTGCATATAGCGCAAGCTTTAATGCATCGAACTGTCTTGATTTATCTTCTAATGCACACCTTTTTCTTATCAATCCTCGGTACGTAGATAGAAAAACTTATTGAATTGTAATTACGTTTATTAGTTTCCTCCTAATAAAAGAGGAAGTACACAAAAATCAAGTAAATCCACTATGTTAATTACCTATATCGCTTTTTGACTTTCAAAAAATGTTGTCACACTCGTATCGAATTCTTCAAAAATATATTTCTTTTGAACATAAACACGTACGCATTTACGAAACAAAAAAACAAAGCTCAGATATACTACATTTCATCATTTGAATCAGATGACTATGAAGACCCAACTTCACAATTTGTGCAATAGTTCATCACAGCTCTAAATGCACCAGCCGGGAATCGAACCCGGGTCTGTACCGTGGCAGGGTACTATTCTACCACTAGACCACTGGTGCTACTTGTTTAATGTAGGAGGCATAAAATATATAATTTAATCGAATTCTTTTCTTTTTTTCCTCTCAACATAGATGATTTACTTAATTAATCATTGAAGTAAATTATAATATTGTTGAACTATGTGGTAAAAATAACATAAATTATGAAAGTATATCAAAAGTACATCAAATGCAAGCATTACATTTCATAATTGTGTATTTTCATAAGTGAGATCTGAAAAAGATAGAATGTATTTTAATAGCTATCTTGCTAGATAGAGATGTAATTTTCGATAGGATATTTCAAAAAAGAAATACGAAATGAAAAAGTCATATTAAAAAGAACCGACAAAATATGTATTTTTCAATACATTAAATGAAAATACAACAGCAAAGACACTAAATTAAAATTTACTCTATGGTCAATATATCTATTTTTCAGTTTATTCAAACGCTGATTTGTTTTCATTTTTGAGCTAAAATTCACATTTTTAGAGTATACAAGAAAATTACTTCAATTCATCATGTTTTTAACTGTGAAAAATATATACATAAAAACAACTAGAATAGCAATTAAAAAAATATATATCATGAAATCAATATGGTGTCCTTATATATTTGACACAGTATTACTACCCATACATTAATTAATTTTGTATGAATGTATTTGGTATTTGGACAATTTTAATTTAAATCAGTGAGAAGAGGACTTGAGGAGCCAGTTTTTAATAATATTGTTAAAGTTTGTGGTGGGATATATATGATTTTTTTTGTCCATGATAAGAAATTTCGATATTGAGCTTAAGAAATTAAAAAAAAATTGGTGAGGAATTTTTTTCCTGAATGAATCTTATGTATTGTGATAAGATGTATAAGATTTTTTCATCCTTCTTTTGAAATCTCACACTCAAATTTAAGAATGAATACAATCTTGATAAACAATGTTTCATCTAGAGATTGTTTTGTTACAGGGACTAAATCGTATTATGTGTTATAATGAGATGTATAAGATTCCTCCATTCTTCATTTGATATCTCGTATTCAAAACTAAGAATGAATACAATTCAGATAAGAAACGCTTCATCTAGTGGTTGTTTCGTTATCATGACTAGTTCGTATTATGCATTGTGATGAGATGCCTTCATTTGAAATCTCGAATTCAAATCTTGAAATGAATACAATTTTATTAAGCAAAGCTTTCACCTAAATCTCATTTCGTTACCACAACATGAATACTAATCTCGATAAACAAATTTGGAATTGTATTTATTTTATGCTCCGTTATTTATATTAGCTAAGATCGATCCATTTTATATAGAATATGAGATTATAATTATAATTTTGGAGTGGTAACCATAGGATAATCCTATTATGAACTAAATAACCTCATTATAAATTTCATTCACCTGAATTTAGATTAGTCGAATCAGTAAATTACAGAAGATGCCTCGATAAATGTGTAAATGTGGGACCATGTGACAGGCCTTTAATGTTAATCTGAATGTACATTTAATAGATAGTATTGGCATTTTAAATTGTCAATTCCCAAGTCCCCTTGTGATCCTTCCCATGATCAAACTCCATATTTCATCACAATGCCCAACATAAAAAGATAATTGGTGATGGGGACTTTTTTTTATTTATTTACTAATAAGAATTGCGGTGGAGTGATATGTACTCTTTCATTCTTAATAAGAGGTTTCACCGTCGATTCTTCCTGAATATGAAATTACCTTTATTAGAGAGAGTTTACTCCTTAATGTGAGACTTCTTGATGCAAATCAAATTTAGTCAAATTTTAATATCGATGCCAGACATCAAGTGAAAATTAAAAATAAAAAAATGCCAAAACTAAGGCATGGGAAGTTTGGGACCATGTAGATAGATATCCATTAGGACCATTACTTAACTGGACCTATTACCAATAAAAGGATTTTGTAAGCTCTATTATTAGATAATAAATTTTGATTTGTACTTGAATTTGAGGAATTGAAATTCGATTTTGAATCTTTGTCTTGATCTTTAGAACTTATAGATAAATATTTGAGTGCTTAAATATTTTTGTAAAATAATTTGTGGCATTGGATTCACGAGTTCTCGCTGATTTCTTATTAAAATTTTAGCATATATTTCATTAACCTTTAATTATTCATTTTGATATATGACTTGATTTTATTGGCTTTCTAATTTTATTCGACATGCTGATTCTTTAAAAAAAATAAAAAATATTGCAGCTTCATATCAATTGCATGTGCACTTTTTTCTGTTCAAATAAAACAGACAACTTTGTATGTACAAAATAGTTGTGGACCTCTTTTAACCCTCGAAAAAAGTGTCACTTCAATTGTACTTTTTATTTTAATATCCGCATTAGAATTTGATTATATTTCAATTTGCGTAATATTGAGCTTCATTTAAGGGAAGTGCTTCTTATCAAGGATTTTTTCATTCTGAAAAGTTAAAACTCGAATTCGAAATCTCCAATTAAAAAAGGAACAATTCCATTAACTGAATTATATTTTTTTGATGGTGTGTCGATTCGATCTCAATATTCGCTATGTGAAATTCATCTTTTTATCACTTTAGAGAAAATCACTAAAATGATCCCTTAAGTTTGATATAAGTTCAAAATAATCGTTTAAAGTATGCTCTCAACAAATTTCATTTAAAAATAAATGAAGTATATATATACATAAATTTTTGGTCAAATTTTAATTGTGTTTCGAAAAATGAAAAGTATCACGTAAATTGAGATATAATAATTTATTTATTTTTTTTGTTAAAAAAATAATAATTGAATCACATGAGTCCCTTACCCTTCCATTAAATTCTTGTATTGGACACAAATCTATATATACACACAACAATAATGTACTATATACATCAATGCCAAAAAAAGAAAAAAAGTTTCATAAATACATTCTTGATTTTCTCTTTTGAAACTCTGTAATGGTGGTGAAATCTCAAGATTTAAGCTTTTTAAAGAAAAGGGTATGCTTTATTTTTCTCTTTTTTTCTTCTTAATGCTTTAAAATTTGGTTCTTTTTGTGTTTCATAACTTGTGATGTCAAAATAAAAATAAAAAGATTACTCTTTTATGCTAATATTTGTTTCAAAGATGAAAGCTCAACTTGGTTTACCTCAAAATGCAAGAGTTTTGAAGCACAAGCTCAAGAAATTAGAATTTTATCTGTTTCGATTTGTTTATCTGTTTTTGACTTGACACGAAGTTTAAGAAAATTAACAAGAATGTATCTATGTGCTTTAATCTTGTGGTTTAGACATGTGAAAAACTAAAATTAGAGTGTTTCCCATAATTTTTTAATTTTTTTTTTGAGTTTTATGTGTTGTAATGCCAAATGAAGATTTAGTTTATTATGCTAATTATATTTGTTTCAAGAAAAGCTCACTTGCCTTGCTCCAAAAAAATGCAAGGATTTTCAAGAAGAAGAACAAGAAATTAGATGTTTGTTTTAGTTAAATTCCCTTTTCATTTGTTTCAAGAAAAGCTCATATATCATTTTTTTTCTTCATTAAATTAGATGCCCAGAATTTGCTTTTTTGAGTTTCATGACTTGTGATGCAAAAAAAGAAAAAAACTTTATTATTCATCCTTCTTCA